TGCTCCACAGTAACCAAACTGAAAAGATGACAATAATGGCATCCAACTCGAACTGCTGTTAAAACTCTGGGAGCATCAAGCATGGCAAGTGAATGGCACAAGCTGAACCGTCAGTTGTCGCTCAATGACTGTTGATTACTGTCATCACTGCAGGAATGAACCACTCATCTGGACTGTAGTGGCTTCCTGTCCAAGGTGCTCCTAATGCGATGCACTCCTGAGTGGTTCCTCCACAAGGAGGGGCCTGAGGAAAGTGGGCTAAAAGGTTTTACAATCTAAATATCAGCGTAGATCTTAAAGAGTCTACACTTCAAAAAGCACTTTTTTTTTTTACCCTTTTCTCAGTTGCTTTCTTCCTTGCTCAGAAGCCTCTAAAAGGAACCACAGTGACTTCAACTGAGAAATACTTTTCTAACACCTATTGCAGTGGCATCTTGGTTCACAAACTTAATTCTTTCCACTAATCTGGTCACAAACTTAATGGGATGAGAACCAAATCAAACTTCTCCATGAAGTCAACATTGAACTTAACCACTAAATCTGAGAAGCATGGAAACAATTAAGTTCATGTACTGAGGTACCACTATACATGCAATGACTCATTCAAGGGATGAATATTTCTTGCCTTCAGAGAGTTTATGCTCAAGTGGTACTTTATCTACATGTTTAATTATTTTCCTGAAGTAAAAATTTCATACTGGGATTATTTGTTTGCTTAGGGGCTTGAACTGAACTAAGTCTCATCTTCAGTATATAATAAAAATTTAAGTTTTTGCACTACTATATGAAGTGATTTCCTCTTGTCTCCATAAGCTTGAAAACCAAAAACTTACATATTTTCAATAAACACAATATTGTGTATAGCACTACAGCCATACACAATGTATTTCTACAAGCTCTGTACATATCTTTGCATGCCATGATACTTTTGAAATTATGTAAAAGGAAAAACAGCCCTCAAAGGGTATGCGTTTAAGTTTAAATTGCTTTAAGACAATCTGATATGTCAATAGCAAGACTGCCTTTGCTTAATGCATAAACAATTATGAGATGCTAAAGTCTATTACAATTTCCAAAGTTGGGCAAAAATTTAATATCCTGGTTGTCACTGCCACCAAAATGAGTGAGTCCTATGTGTACTTTGCCATGGCGATACTAAAAAAATTATTTCTGCCAAAATATTAAAAAAAGGCTGCCTTCTACCAGAGAACATGGTGGGGCAAGGATGGAAATCAGTTGGCAGAACTGTAGGTCAAGAGGTAGAGAAGTGGGGAGCTTAAAGGAAGGGCAAGACTTTCATGCTCTAAGAAAGTTGGACGCAGCCAATCACTGTCTTTTAATACTCCTCGGTTTGCTGAGAAGTGGCCTGCAGCAGAGTCAAACAGCTTGAACTATTTTTAGGCCCATGACCCTCCAAAAACACAGCGCTAAATTCAGTCCTCAGTTACACCCACTCAACTCCCACTGGCTTTAGCTAGAGCCACAGGGAGAATCTGCTCACGACACAGAAGGGTTTATTTATGCTCTCCGCATTCTTTGGTTCAAAGGAAATGATAGCAAAGTGGCCAAAGGCTATCAAAAGGCACATGGTTGGTTTCCTGGCTCAAGAAGGGTGGCAGCCAAGAGCTTCCATACTGAGGAAAACCATGTGCAAAGTGTGACACTCTTGCACAGCTGATGAAAAATTTGTGTCCTGTGGCTACTCCAGGCAACGGGTAAAAAAGAAGTTCCTTTTGAAAATGGGAGTCAGTAATATCTCAGAATTGGTTAAAGCTATAATCACATCTACAAAGGCTCATATTTGAAGAATCTTAACATTTGAGCTGAATTAAATTTGTAACTCCAAATACTATAAGGTATCACATAAAATCCGCTTCTGCTGAATGTCACACAAATGTGACCATGAACTACAGTACAGTGAGGAGAAAAACATCATGTATAAATAATAGGTCCAAAGTCTGACTTGGGGGTTAGTGGAGAGCGTTTGGCATCTCAAATTACTTTAACAGGGGGGCCTGTGACATCCTATGGAAAGGACACTTGGGTCTCCCACCACCCTCTCTAATCCGTCTTTCTTAAAGGAACACTCAGCAAGATAATGGATGCTTTAAATGTTACATCTTCTGTCGTGCATTATTGTGGTGCCGAAACTCTTCACATCAAACAGTCATCAGGACTATTACAAAGTGAGCTTATAAGAGAGGGGCTGAAAAGGAGCTGTGTGAAAAGAAGTGGAAAATTAAAGCTGAAGCAGTCGAAGAAAGGGCTTAATTTACTGGCATGTACAGTATGCAAATGAGATTACTCTCAGCTTAACTGCATCATTTATGTCCATAATAACGGCATCATCATTACAGGGCTCAAATTAAATTACACCATAATTAGCATATCAAAGTGATTGGTTAAAGTTTAAAACAAATACCCAATTTTGTTAATGAACAGCTGTAATTGTCATGTACACTTCAGTGAAAACTCTCTAAACAAATATATGTTTTAGAAGAGAGGAAGGATTTTTTTAAGCAGACAGGTCTGTAGCAGGGGTAAATCACCTAAAAAAGAATGACATGGACTATTCTATTAATGTTAATGTATGCTGATCATTTTCAGGTAATAAAACATTCTATCAAAACACGGCTTCGCTTACATTTAGACACCTTCCCTGCTCCTGAAGTGACAAACCATGAGAAACCTGTTTCCACTTGCAGTAATGATAACGATGTAGGGATGACCTGCCTTCAACAAGCAAAGGACATGTTCAATAACATGCTATTACTAAGCCCTCATTCTTATTTAAAAGATATTCGTGTTCTAAAAGCACCAAGTCAAAGCTGATCTCTCCCGGCTCCAGCCAAAAGAGAGAACAGTGACTGACAGAGCCAGGAAAACTCACTGAATTTATGGGGTAGACCAGAACACTCCTGTGTTGATGCCCTGATAACATATCACACAGCCTGGAACTCAATTTCTCCTCCTTGAACCATAGCTGCACAGCAGTTTCAAAAGCGCAGTTGCACTAGAGAAGTTCTTACTCTTCAATCATTAAAATAAATCAGGAGATATGACTAGCTATTCTGTTAATGTTAACTATAGTCAAGATGCACACAAATTTTGTATGTGTAAAACACTAATAACAGACATTAATAATAAGCTTGTTTTCAGCCTTTTTATTATACTCAGTTAATATCAGAAGAGTTCCTATACAAAACGGTTTGTCAATGATCTTGAGACTGACATGCAGAAGTGCTCCCCGTCTGGTTCCCCCAATTTCTTAGCTGCACCCAGTATGTCCTCTGATGCATCTGTGAGGGTAACCACCACTGTGATACACAGCAAAGCAAGCCAAAATATATTTTGCCCCCAAAAAAGCACTTTCAAATATACTTAACAAGCAAATTGAATGTCTTATTAAAATCGTATTATCTAAACAGTGTTCAAAAATTTAAAGAAAGTAGCTTTTCATTTTATTCATCGAGGAATCCATTAAAGCTTAGGCTCTGAAGTAGTATGTAAATTATGTGCCTTTCAAGGTAGAGCTAGGGCAAATTCACTCCATCAACTAATGATGAACCTCATTATGTGCAGGGAGGATTCATAATGAGGAAAGAGCCACCCGCCATTCCATGTTCTAACATAAATCCCTGTAAAATTTGAATATCTCCCCGTCTAATTAAAGGCTACTAATTCCAATCGCCCCCTTTCTGGCCCCAAAGTAAAAATAAACCTCTTTAAAAGCACAGACTACAGTTATATTTCTAAAGCAGTCCATGATTCTGTTTGGACTCCAAACCTTCCACTCAGATATGTTTTACCACAAGCATAATTAGCAGCCTTCTAAGATACAAACTTTGGGACTGTTCAAGTTCATTTTGGTTAAATACCTTGGATTTCTATTTTTCAAAGAGCTTCACCTTGACAGGGGTACAGTGTGTGCACAGAGATGGTCTGCAGCCAAGAAACCAATAGGAACATGTGAACGTAGTAATAATATAAAATAAAATTCTTAGCACTCAAGTTCTTTGCTAAAGCTGCGATATGCAAAAAAAGCCAAGCACTGTGGCATGATCCTGAGATTGTATTTGAAAAAGGATGGGTTTGAGTCTGCTTGGGAATGACATACTTGATCCTGGAACAAAATGCTTTTAATGTGGTTTGAACTAATGAATGAGTACAGACCAGCATTTCACAAGCCAAAGAATTAGTCCCTCTTCTAATCACCAACTGATTTTTTTTTAAAGCTAAAAACTAGAATGCAAACACAACGTTGCCAAATATATTTATTATGATTAATAGCCTGTAATATCCCTCACCAAGGCTTAATTTGTTCTCGTTTTCAATTATGAATCTACACTACTCTATTCCAATCCCCTTTTTAGGTGGGGATGAATTTCTTGTGGTCTTTACTCTTTCTATTGTATTGTCACCAGCAAGGCACAATTAGTTAAAAACAGCAAACCTCCACCTTGGCTCCAACAGAGCACCCGATTACATAAAATTAGAGAACAAAATAATTGAGAAATAAGTGAAGGTGTCCAGGGAATTAAAGCAATTAGACTAAAGGAAAAAGAAAAAGTAATAAGCCATGCATCCAAACACACCTTTACATTAAAATGTACGAGAAAAAGCAAAAAGAAAAATTCCTAGGTTTTTATTTAACGTTGACAAACTCCAACGAGAATCTAACTAGGGAATCTTATCTCCTGTCACAAATTCAAGCAGCCCCAAATGTCTGATTGCCAGCCTGGTAATGAAATGTACACATCTGTGTTAACATCAGTGTAGAATATCAGGACCTAATGAGTCCATTCTACTAAAGATGCTGCCGCTTCTTTAAGTTGCATAAAAATAAACTCTACTACATAAAAGCTGCCACAGTGCGTGCGCTCTTCATCCCTCGGCTCCAAGCATGATCTCGCCACTTCCCTCCCCCCCTTTTAGGCCAGCCACTCATGCATTAGGGAGACATCCCTCCCAAAATAACTTGGCCCTCCCCCGAAGCACAGAGTTGAGCAACCTACCTTTGTTCTGCAGTTGCAGATAATAACAGGCAAGCCTCAAGACCATGAGGATTTGGAAAAGATCAGGAGAGTTGAAGAAAGAAAAAAAAGCAGGGTGGGGAAAAGAAAAAGAAATACCCCAAGTAGAGAAGAACTGGAAGAAACAACAGGAAAGCCTGCTAATGACACTGCTGTGGCTGCCACAGATCGGGGTGTTTTCTGCAGTGTTTATACCAGTGAGTACACACCTCTGCTCATCTCATCCACAACTGGTGGTATTTTTTTTCCAATCCATGCATGACAATTAAAAGCAACTGCACCTCTCTGTTTGGGAGGGGGACCACAAAAGACGTCCGCAATATTTCTTCCCAATGTCTATTTCACTGATGAGCATTAGTTTGAGTGACAAAGGTCCCAGGCTAAATCAACATTCTTACCTTAATGTTCCTAGTAAAAGGCTCCAGGAAACATAACTCATGAGACATGAATGCAAAGATACGTCTCAAGAAATTAATCCAGAGCCCTCTGCTTAAGTGAGAAAAGAGGGAAAAAGGAAAAGAGAAAGAAAAGGCAGTGGCTTACATTTCCAAACAAACGCAGCTCAACTCAGGCAGCGATGGCATAAAAACAGGTTTGCATATACAGAGCTCAGTGGCAGAAGCAAGAGTTCTGTAGGATTTATTTGACACTTATTTTCCGGGAAGCCTTTTGTGGAGTTGTACCGTTTGTTTCTTATTGTCTGAGACAGTTAGGAGCTTTGTCCCAGAGGGGGCCTCCCAACCCGGGGCTTGGCGGCCTCTGAGAGGGAGGTAACCATATTAGGATGTGTATGGTAAAGTAAACAATAACATAGTTGCGATGAAATGGAATTTTTTTTTTTCAGCTAATGGTGTTGGGGTCAATCCTGCCTTTTTAGCCGTTCCTATTAATTTTGTTTTCTAGTACAAACAGGCTCTTCATCTCTTATTATTTTAAGTGTTAGATGTTTTCAAATATCTGCCTATAAATTTACTGAGAATGTCTGCAATGTAAGAAAAATCTTTTAACATCCAAATAAAGATCTTGCCAGTTTAATCATTAAAGGGATGTGAATTTTCAAACCTTTGCAGAGAGCCAAGCCTTCTCTATTCACCCCCTCCATCTTTTCCTGAAGGTTAAAATTAGTTGGTCATTTTAAAGTACCTTCTAAATAAATCAGAATTTTAAAGAACGAGACCATTACCTTGTGTCACTGAGTGAAGACTCTTAACTGTTCATATGCCTGAAAATTTATTACCTGAAATCTCCAGGATGATTATTTTTATGTGATAAAGCTCATTCCTACCTCCTATAGCCAACCCTCCATCCCCTACAAGGGGGAAAAAAAGCACAAAAAAAAATCATGCTTGAGAAATTAGCTAATAAAAATATCAAGAAGGAGTTCCAAAGACTGTTACATATTTAAGAAAAGTTCTGCAGATCTAAAAACAACAATAAAAAGTAAGGCTCCTTTCCTGCCACCCTCAATATGATATTCTCATTCTCTGAGTCTTTCTCTGTCTCTCTCTCTCTCTGTCTTCCCCCAGCCCCCCACCCCGCCCGTACTCTATACGGCCAGTGAAACATCCCAGCAAAGGTCAGGGCCAGCCGATGAGAAGGACAGCAAGTGTTGAGGGGGACCAGAGAGAGAACAGATCCGGAAGGAGAGAAGCAGCGGACAGCCAGCCAGTCCAACACTGAGCAGGCTTCCCTATAGGCTTCCTCTAGGTAAGAACAAGCGTTGCTGTGTAAAGCAGTTTACCGGAGAGATCTGCCCAAACCAAATGAGGGTGTTCAAACAGTATCCAGTCCTTGGCATAGAGGACCGGAGGACTGAACCATAATGCTGCCCACAAGAGCCCCAGAAAAGCAAGTCCCCATACCAGGCCCAGAGGCAAAACATGTTAGGCGCAAAAGGACACAGGCAAGCAAATAAGTGATAGAAATCATTAAAAATGAAGCCGGGCTTCATTTCAATGAACAAATGAAATACACATGGGCCTGGTAAAACTTCCCGAGCCCAGAGAGTTCTTCCTCAGCCTGGATCCTCGGGGCTGGCCTCTAAACTGCCTCAGCTCTTATCAGATCCATATCATACAGAAACCTAAACCGTCTGCAACTCATGTTTTATTAAAACATGTTTAGCATTCTTCTTAAAGATAGGTTTTAACCCCAAATACCCATGAAATTAAATCTCCTATGCCACTTATCTGCACGGCTGGGCAAAAACTAAAGTTGAGCTAAACAGAGATAGCAAAATCAATAAATCACACCAAACAGTAGCAGTTCAAAAGTTCAAAGATATGATGACCAGTTCAGTGCGTCTTAGCACTCACCAATAATAACTCGTCTCCGTCACTCTTCATAGTATAGACAATTTCATGGCATCATTTTCATTAGCCTGTCTCATGGAAAATTGCTAGCTATTTATGTATACGCTAAAATAAATTAGCCATTTCATTGAGCAGTGTGATTCTTATAAAATACATTAACACAATACTCGATTTTCCAGTTGGAGTAAATAAATAAATCAATACATTGAATACTGGGTGATTCTTTTATTGTGGTGCTACAGCTCTCAGCATAAGTGTTTTTATTGGGTTTATTTGTTTCAATAAAAATTGAAATGGGCCAGTGATCTCAGTGCTAGCATCTTTAAAAAATAAAATCTATCCAATATTTGGAAAAGTACTGTGCAGAACATTCAAACTTATAATTTTATTCAGAAATTATTCTCATTATGTATTATTCTGCAATCTAACTGATGGGAGGTTTCACAAAGGGAAAGGGGGAATCCGGCCAGGGTCTGATTCCTCTGGCGTTTCTCTGTTCAGGACCCACCATGGGGGAGACGCTTTTGAGAGACAGCAGTGCTTCACTGAGCTGTGACCTTTTGCCTGGAATGCACTTCTCCCCTGCGCAGGAGAAAAGACAGTGGGACAAGTGCCAGATGGCCTGCTCTGTCACACCTTAAGGAATGTCATTGATGGTGGCACAGAGAAGGCCATTTACTCCACCCTCTGGGGGATAGACTGGGGTATCATGACTGCAAAGAAGGAGAGAGGTGCGCCGGTGCTGTAAATAAAATCATGTACAAGGCCTGCCTGCCAGCAGCTCAGGAGAGGACAGCTACACATCCACAGGCAGAAGATTTTCCTCAACTCAGCAGCACAATGAAAAGCAAAGGGAGATACGGCTGTAGCTATCAGTACAATCTATGCTCCCCTTCCTTCCTTTGATGCCGACAGCCTGGTTTTTCTTTGGGGAAATGCTCATTCCCCACTCTCAGTCCAGGTTCTCACAGGAGGAGGACACATCTCCCATCTCAAGGGTGGAGTCATTAGACAAAACTGACCAATCCGTTCTTTCTGCTCTGCTGGCCTCACTGATTGGCTGATGGATGGACATGGCCCAAGCCAGACACAGGATACTCAGCTACCAGTATTCTGCACAAACCACTGTGAGTGAGGAAGACTGTCCTGCTGGCCCACTGAAGCTTCACAAGCATTGATGGGGGCTGCCTCCACAGAGCAAGAAGGCTGAACAGAGGCCAGAACACAGTAGCACAGAACAGAACACAAGTGCCCAGCGGATTTCTAACAATGCTTACAGAGGACGGACGGTCTTCCTCCTCCTAGACTGGTCAGCTACATGGGCTAACTAAATTCCCTTATTTGCTTGACCAGATGGAGCTGGCTTTAGGTCATCTGCAACCACAAGGAGCAAAATAGGAACTCAAAACAGTTCTCTATATGTAGCTCTCTAACTCTATGATATATGTTAGTTAGCCTTTATGGGAACACAAAGCAATCAAATACACTTCTAGTGATACTATTCCATACCTGTAGAAATTTACATGTCCTGTGAGACCTGTTTATTGGCTATATTCTCTTGTCTGCTAATAAGCCTGGATCTACAGTGAGAAAGAACTCAGATGATCCCAAAGCAAACTCAACTAGAGGACTAAAAATATCCAACATGAGGTCTAATGCAGACTTAGGAAACTTCCTGTCTAGGTCCGCAGGGGCTGTGTCCAGGTCAAGCCAGTCAGCTCACACAACAGCCTCTGGCCTGCTGACCTCGCCTGTGGAGGGAGATGACACCGGGCCTTTCAACTTGATATGGAGTGGCACGTGGGTACAAAGACAGACTGGAAGGCCCTTTTGTCTTATGGCCACTGATCACAAAAACCAGTGACAAGGTCTGCAAGGACAAAGGGCAGGGTAGGTCACTGAAAACTGGCCAGCACACACAAACTTGCTGGCCCACAATACTTCTGAATTCTTTTTTTTTTTTTTTCAGAGCTTCCACAGATGCTGGGAAGCCAAGAGAAGCCAGACAGAATGGTCTAACTTAACTGTGGGGGGAAAAGTCATGAGATAAGGGGTGGGGTCACTTGGGGGAGACAGCTTGGCAGCAAGCTATAAACAGTCACACTGACAGTGGGAGCCTTAGCACAGCACGACTCAACTTTTACACGCTCCTCACTGTGCTCCTCTCAGCACAGTGCAACAGTGAGTACCTACCACCCTCCTGCCTCACTCAGGAGACAAAAGCACAGACAGGGATGTACGTCACTGAGGGCCACACAGCTGCAAGGAATAGCGACAGGGTCCGAATCCTGGCTAAGTCCGCCTCCTCTCATATTGCGAGTCTATATGTGTATGTATATGTGTGCATACTGTACAAAGCAATCTACAGGTGGTATAGAACACAAATAAACATGTGCGTGTATTATAGAAAATCAATGAATAATAAACACATCTACACATGAATATTGGCACACGTGTGTATGTATATATATATATATATATATATATACTCAAAATCAATTGTGATACACAAACTGCATAAAGACATACACGGAGACACATACCAGTGAAGCTCATGTACAAATTTCTACCAAAAAAAACATTCTTACCATACCAAACTCCCAACCCTCTAGGAAAACTATAAACTTACTCTAGGAGACATAAAAATATTCTAAACAGAACAATCTATTAATCTCAGTATGAAATCTCGTCTCTTGAACATGCTACAACCATGCTTACTCCATGGTACTGAGGAAAGGAAAGTGACACATTCAGAAACCATCCTTTGTTTTACTCACTTGTTGGTTCATTAGTGCTAAAAAAAAAAAAACTATCCTTTACTAAATACTGCACTGAGGACAATCTGTTGTGCAATTTTTACAGTATCTTCCCCCATTTCACAGACATGGCAAACTGAGATTTCACTTAAATAATTTAATTAAGGGGATATTGTGAGTAACTGACAGCACACAGAACACTCAACTCTATCCCTGACCTCCCCATTCTGTGCTCCAGAATCAACAATTCTTAGTGATTCTTACTTGTGTGGCTATTAATTGTCATATGTCATTAATTTTTAAACACCTGATACCTAACATCAAACTCAAGCCCAGAGGGAGATATAAGCAGTAAAAACACAATAATATATATTTGCAAAATTCACCATATGGTAATAAACCGAACAGACTTTGGTCCAGGATGATAAAGTAACAGCAGAATGTGGGGCAGTCTATTCAAACGGACCAAAAAGGAAAGAGTCCTTAAAGTAAGCACCATTCAAGTGGGAGGGGTGGGTGGGGTCTGGCCTGAGGCCTGGCTGTCAGCCTGGACTCCAGCCCTGTCAGCCCTACCAGGCAGAGGAGGCCTTGATTTCCTCGCCCTGGGCAAGAATGGATCCCAGCCCAATTCTGTCAGCTTTTCTTGGGACCAGAAACCATAGCAACATAAACAATAACAAAAACAATAATAATGGATGCTGCCAATTACTCTTTTTTTAATATGCAAGGGATGTCACTAGTTATCTTACATGCATTTTCTCAGTCTTTACATTAACTCTATAAGGTTCATAATTTCATCAGGCCCACTTTATAAAAGAGACCAGGGCTCAAAGAAATTAAATTACCTGTTCTTGAGACCACACAATGGTCCAGTGGTGAAGTCCAGAACTGAACCCAGCTCTGGCTGCAGCATCTGACCCTGGAACTACATGTTGATGTCTAACTCCTGCCAAGAAGGACGGTTAGTACCAGTCCCTCCTGCCCAGAGGGTTGCCCTGGCTACCACTCCCACCTGGAGTATGACACCACTGCAAGCCATCCAGATTTAGATAACTGGCTCTGTTGAATAGGAAGAGGCTGAGAAAACAAGGCAGGAAGGTGGCAGACAGGGAAGTTTAAAAGCACAGCAGCCCGAATTCCCAGCCTCGTCACATGGTGTCACCTGGACTCCCTAGTCCACCCTGTGAATACTCCCTTGCCTCTGACCAGAGCCATGGAACTGAAGATGCGTCATCTCTGAAGTCAATCACAGATGCTAACCCTACTAGGGTACCAATATGATAGCCCAAATACACACTGCCTGAAATGTGAATAAACTGCTTTAAAATTCTGGCTAAGGAGGGAGGGGGTCATCACCCACAGGGTTTCCCTGGTTAGACTAAGAGACAAGGGACTAGAAAATGTTTCACTGTGTGAGCTGTTCTGTGACTGGAAGATATTTAGCAGCATTCCTAGATGCTGGTAGCTCCTATCAATTGTGACCTCCAAAATGTCCCCAAGCATTGCCAACTCTCCTCTCCTGGAGGAAGCCATTCCTGGTTGAGGAACATCGACCAACAGGATTTCCTGTGACGATGGCAATATTCCACACTTATAGTTTCCTCAGAGCGGCCAGGGGCCAGGTGAGGCTGCTCAACATTTGAAATACGGTGGGAGTAATCGAGGAGCCCAATTCTTAATTGCACTTAATTTTAATTAATTTAAAAAGCTACACATGCCAAGCGGCTGCCATATCTTGGACTATGTGGTTTTAGAGGTGTCGCAAAATCTCCATATTCATGAGAATCACATCTTCAGCAGATGGGTATTTGGCCTCCAGTTTGAGATTCTTTATATTAATTGAAAATTGTACTTTCTTCTCAATGGATATTCATCAATTCTCCAAGATTTAAAGTATTACCGGCTGTAACTTCCTAAAAATTCTATTCTTCCGCTGCACTGTTTGTACTAAATTTTGGTTAAAAATATTTTTTGTAAACACAGTTTTGACAAGACTGCAGATGCATATAGTTGTGTAACTCAAATGAAAGATTTATGCTGGAGGAATAGAAGGGAGTGCACTCTTCTAAGAAGCTAGTTGCAACATCTTTTTGTTTTTTTTTAATTTTACTACTGGAAAAAAAATCGTATATGCTGCTATTGCTGGGACTCACTGCTTGTCAACTGTGTCTCTTGAGCCATCAGGTCTCTGCAAAAAGAATCCAGTTCTAAGGATTCAAGTAACTCACACTCCTTGCCAACAAGAGCAGGGACACAACGAAAGTGTCCCAAGCAGGAACATGTCTCTAGTCTGTACCTCCCTTGAAAATGCATGCATTTACTCAAGGTGTAATGAATTTTTCCGATCAGGAAGAAAGGTTAGTGTTGATGTAACAAAGCGACTGTAAAATCAGCACAGGATGTTATAAATACACCCTGGCTGTCAGGCTGTTTCTTTGGCAAATACAGAACCCTGTGCTGGTGGTGAAACACCCACAACTGAGGGCCTGAGCAAGGAACGGGGCAGTATACAAAGTATTTCTTGGACAAACAACTAGGATCTTGAGATGAAATCCTAGTGGAGAACAAAATTCTCACTGACTCTTGACACCTTAACGGTGAGGTGGGAATCCAAAAGCATAGCCATCCTAAATCACTGTATAACTAATAATTACTTATTATCTTTCTGTCCTTTGCCAGGTTCAGTCTGGACTCTATGCTGACCTTAGCAGATCAAGTATGAAGTGCTCTCCCCTATGAACATACTACTGGATGCCTGTTCAACAGCCAGTCCCCAAATCTCTGTCGCCCCTCTCTCCCACCTCCAACCTTCCCCAAGTTAAAAAAAGTAAGATATGCCCCTTTTCCAGATTCTTAGCTCTAGCTTGAAGACATAAAGGCAAAATGCCTGAAAAGATTTTTCCTCCTTGGTAAAAAAAAAAAAGGACATAAAGAGAACCTTTCTCTCTCACTACACTTATCTCTACCTATTTTGTGCTATTAAATGCCATAATAAACTAAGGTGATGCCTGGTGCTTTTGCAGCCATCTTGTGGCCATAAGGGAAACATTAAAAGAATCACAGACATGCCCACTCTGCAATTAAACATTACTGATGTGCCAAACAAGTCTTCAGACTGCCTACCTTCAAACGAGGCAAGGAAATACAAAATATTCTTAAGTTTTCATCCACTGTTACTCAGGTTTTCTATTAGTATGGTGTACTATGAACACAAGCTAATTGAAACATCCTAAATCTCAGGAATGACAAGAGAAAAATCACTTCCTGGAGGGAACTAGAGTAATAAAAGTGTAATTAACCAATTCTCTCCTAGATAGTTCAGTAACAACTTACCACTGCAGAAAACAATACTTAGTTTTCAGAGTATCCTCAAGGAAAAAGATCAGTCCCTTATCCCCACATGCCAGCTCCAGGCAAGACTTTTGCCTTTCTGGTGCAATAACAAGCCACACCCACTCCACCAGCAACCCCACCTCTAGGTGCTGTGATTGTCTCAGCAAACAGAAACAGAGAAAAGGGACACAAAAGGTTCCAAGGCAACAGCCATCACAGGAAACCTAGTCACAAAGTAGGTTACACATGCAGCTCCAACTACAAAGCAGGTCACTGCTGGGCGAGGGATTAATGTGTCTTGTCCTAACATGCAGAGATGCTGGCCCAGCGCATGGGGCGATGCAGTCACCTGAGCTGGGCCTGGTGCTCAGATGCTGCAGAAGGAGAGAGACCCATGCCTTCCACTTGTCTAGCATGAACACAAGTGCTCAAGGGATGGGGTCAGCCACAGCCAGCGGTAGGAACAGGCAGCTATGTCTGTGCAGGGTGCAGCCTGACAGTGTCTGTCATTCCCCACATGTATACACAGAGAGGGAAAAGGAAGGTGGTAAAAGGAAGTATAAGTGAGGAACAAATACCTTCTTAGAAACTCTGCAGTGCAGGTTAGGGTAGCTCCATGTACACAGAGTGCAGAGTTAAGCACCACACGACATGCAAACCATCTGCTAGCCCCCTCTGTAATTTCTTGCTGCCTGATACTGGAAGACCAGGATGACCTCTATTTTTCTCAGATTTCCATTCACAACATTTAAATAGAAGAAACATATATAACCTTATAGGGTTGTGGTAAGAATTAAATTATGATGCCCAAGCTCTTCTATGGTATATAGTAAGTGCTCAGTAATTTATACCTGTTACAGAAGTGGGGGTGAGAAGCCACTTCACTCTTCCCATAAGTAGGCAGAAGCCATGTTGGGTCTGAGAGGAGTACAAGAGCCACATTGCCCTTGCTGTGAATCATGAAAACCATGGGGGGTCCAGGAGACAGACAAGCCAGTTTGCCCTTCCTATGAGCTGACCATCATGAGTGTTGAGAATCAAGAACATACTTCTGTCTCCTTGAAAGCAACAGGCTGACTCGGAGGATAAGCTAAGCTGATAGCAACTAAGGTACAAGAATACTAAATGCTTGTATTGTTTGATTGACTTTTCAGGCCCAAGGCCAGTGGTGTGAGCATCTATCAGGAGGATAATAGTATTCAATATAGCAAATATGGGGGGGTTCCTTCTGTCTTGTTTTTGAAATCCAATATTGTTGTTTTGTTCCAATTTATTGTTTTATTTTATTCAATGTTCTGTTTTGATTGGTTTTACTCTGTTTTGTTTTATTTGATTTTACTATGCCTGATGGTA